TCTTTAACCCAAAGGGCATGGCGGTAAATTCAAATTGCCCATCAGAGGTAACAAACGCAATGTATTCAATGGAATCTTTATATAACTGCACCTGATAATATCCACAGGCCATATCTAGACAAGTGAAATACTTGGCTCCTCTTAGTATAGCTATTTGATCGGCTACTGTATTTTCATTTAATTATCTATAATCAACACAGAGCCTAACTGAACCATTTTTCTTTTTTTCCAAAAATGCTGGACACCTCTTGCATCTTTATTTTTGGCTCATCAACGACACACAGTTCCACTCTCTTAGATCCTGCATCATTTCCTGACAAATTCCTGGGACATTGTGTAGAAATGTGTAGCACCTAACTGTTTTAGGACGCTGCAACGACGTTCGCTCAGTTCGATGGTCTTCTCCTGATGGAGGTTGTATCTTTACTCTGCAGTCAACACTTATCTCTCGGACTACAAAGCTCGTCTGTTAAGAATGTTTCCAGTGTAGGCAATGCGTTGCAACATGTGGTCCCTCGGTATCCATGTCTCTCCATTTGGTCACTAGTGATGTAATTTTTCGGCTCGCATACACAACAAGACACTCGCCAAGATTCGGACGACTATTCAATAGATTTAAAATAGATATTGCTGACGTCTCAAAACTGTGATACGTTTGTTCAAACAATTGTCTGAATTGAATGCCTGAATAACATATTTTCGATAGCCACTGAGACGCGTTTCCATCAAAGCATTTTGTCAGTGCCAAAATTAAGGTTTTTCGCTACAGTAGCACAACATTGTTTTACATCGGCGCAGGCAACATCAGAATTGTATTTCGGCAAGAGAATGCGACCATTTTGTAACGGTTGTTTAGACGACGCTTACAAACTTGTTGCAAGTACCAGAAAGTTATGATTTTGTTGTTCTAACAAAACACGAAATTGATCTTCACACACGGTTGGTCGAGTGTTAGATCACACTTCTTATATCTTCTGATATCTTCGGTCAAGTTAGTCTTGAATATTGCCCTCCATTACACCATTAAAATTGTGCAGCGAGTCTCATCATGTTGTCGGGTTCTCTTCTCAAATCAAAGACAATATTCTTCACTTACTCAACAACAATCTAACAATCATCGTCTCTCTTACCCAACACAATTCAGAACCTTATGAGTATTGGCGCGTAGTTTCAAATTACTGTATTCTATCAGTTTATCTCCGACATATATACTATATTGTACAATATGTGTTTAGTGATTATTAGTTTCCAAGCTGCCTACGAATCCAGCATGGAGTTGACCATGTTGTTCGCTCTAATGGAACGGCCCACTGCCTCTTCTAGACAACGCCTCTCCTCTAGGAGACGTGTTTGGCGTCTTCCACCAGGCCACATCCGCACCAAGGGCATTCGTCGGTTTCTTCTTGGCCAAAGCGCTTCTATTAGGTGCGAAAGCATCCATGTCCCGAAAGAATCTGCCTTAGATAAGAATTAATCTCGCCGTATTTGCGGCTTACCCATGGTTCAAGCTCCGGGATGAGCGTGTGCGTCCACTCTTAGCTGAGCTATTCCATCCTCTTTGCCATCGTGCAATGATGTTCGCTCTGATATCGTTGTGTCGTATAGGATCGTGTGCATTCCGCTCCACGGCTTCGGCGACCAAGTCCTGAAAGCGCAGCTGACTCTGATTGCGCTCAGTCTATAGGTGCCGCTAATGCCCCGGCTGTAGCTCAGCGTTGCCATCGCTCTTGACCATATTGGCGCAGCCTAGAGGATGACGGACCTAATGACGCTCATTAGAAGGAGACGTCGAAGAGGCCCCAGTACTGTACATTGTGGGACTCCAGCTGACACTGTATGAGTTTGGGGACCCTCACTCGATCACAGAAGATATAAGAGCTAGAGTCTTGAAATTTTTTTTCCTAGGTCCGTGTATATTACGCGCATATCAAGTTTTTCTCTAAATATCGATAACTACTATTTTATATTTTATTATCGATTAAAAACCTTATCGAAAGCTAGTTATTTAATTATATCTCCTACACCTTTAGAGCTAGAGCTTCCAAATTTTAAATGTAGACTTATATGTATTTTATATAATTAAAAATTATATAGTTAAAATTTACCCCCCACTCCTATTTCTACCCCCTCATCCTCACCTTTGTAAAAAGCGTATTTCAAATACTAGAGACTTATGCTGTGGAATGTATATACATTTGAACATTATTATTATGTTCTAAAAGTTTCATTAAGATTGTACGTCTAGAAATTAAATTATTCAACAAATAAATTCTTATAATGTTGCTCACACTGCAGCGTAGCCCAAGCGCAGTCGCTGCTTATTGCACAGTTAGCAGAGCGAGTTCTAATACGTGCGTGTGTATGTATGTGTGCCGAAAAGAAATGCACAGTGATTAGAATATCAGATTAGAGGGTTCAGGGTATCTCCTAGTCGAGCAGTCTCGACTAGAGCCTTCTTACTTGTTACTATCTCTTTTAGATGTTTAGGGATATTATATTATGTCAGCACATCCAGTATCATGTCCCAACTGGCTGTGTCGAAGGCATTCTTTACGTCTAACCGCAATGGTGCAGTTTTGCTTCGTCCTTTATTTAGCGCATCTATTGTTGACCAGGCCTTCCGGAAACCATATTGATTTGGTGACAGGCCTCCGGCGCTAACAATAGCTTCTCCAGTTTAGAGCAAATCAATTTCTCAAACACCTTTCCCATGGAGTCTTAGAGACAGATTGGTCTATATGATGATGGCCTTGGGTCGCAATAGCAGGTTCTGTGTTTTCCAGGTTGCAGTGAACGTCTCCTGAATTAAACATTCGTTGTATAATTCGGCAAACGAATTTGGGTGCAAGTCGAAGGCTAGCTTTAGAGCACGATATGAGATCCCGTCCAGCCTGAGCTGAGTTAGGCCGATCTTGACGCTACCTAACGCTAACCTAACTTACGCGTCTATATATTGCGACGCTCTAGATCTAACTTAACGCCTGTGCCCTTCACGAAGCTCTAAATCTAAAGCGTCTTAACGTGTGTGTCTTCTCTTCACAAAGCTCTCTATCTAACTAAAAAAAAAACTTTCCTACTCCGGGCTTAAGCCACTCGCCCTCGCGGCCGCTCAATTCACCACGCTGGGGCAGGGCTTCACTGCCGATCGCCGACGTTGCATGTGCTTATCCGCCTTCTAAATGTAAAATTAAAACAAGTAAGAAAGCTCTAGTCGAGACTGCTCGACTACGAGATCCCCTGAACCCTTCGAACAATAGCTTTTTCATCATTGTTCGCTTCATTCTGCTTACAAAAGAAACACGCAAACACACACACACACACACGCACACACACACATACAGACACACACGTATACACACACACACACACAAGAACCCACGCATAAACAAGTATGGGCTGCAGTGTGCGCTTACTATGAGAACCTTATTAACTTTTCCTGGGGATGTACTTTCTTCATAAAACTTTTAGATTATGATTATAACAAAGATATGCATGCATTTGACAAAGCACAAGTCTAGTATTTGAAATACGTCTTTTACAAACATCTTGGTGAGAGGGTGGATATAGGGGTGGGGGGTAAATTTTAACAAGCCCCGAAATTGTATAAAATGGATATAAGCATACATTTAAAAGATGTAGGAGATATAATTTTATAACTGATTTTTGGTATGATTTTTTACCGATAAAAATAAATACCTGGATGAGTTATCGATTTTTGGTGATAAGGTCTATATCCACGCTGTATATACGGACATTTAAAAAAAAATTTGAAGTCTCTCTAGCTCTTATATCTTCTATAATCGACGGACAGACAGTCGGACAGGGCCAAATCGACTCAGCTCGTCGATCTGATCAAGAATATATATACTTTTCGGGGTCTGCCACGCCTCTTTCTGCCTATTACATACATTTCAACAAAACCATTATACCCTGATTTCCCATTTACTACATCTACTAATTCAACTTATAACTCGGGGCTTAATACATTTTCAATAACAACTTACATTTTAATAATTCGACTTATAAAACTATAAAGTCATAAGTTAATTACTATCGCTACCATGCTATTAATCTCGACTAACATAACTACAAACTTATATACTTCAAACATGAAAGGCGGTGTGTTGGCGAGCCGCATTACACAGTCTCTTTCTTATTATACCCTGAACCCATTGAAAATGGGAAATCAGGGTATAATGGTTTTGTTAAAAGTATGTAACAGGCAGAAGGAGGCGTGGCAGACCCCACAAAGTATATATATTCTTGATCATGGCGACGAGCTGAGTCGATTTGGCCCTGTCCGTCTGTCCGTCCGTCCGTCCGTCCGTCCGTCCGTATGTATGAACGCGTCGATCTCAGAAGATATAAGAGCTAGAAACTGTATATCACGCGCATATCAAGTTTTTCTTTATATATCGATAACTACTCCAGATATTTTATTATCGATTAAAAACCATATCGTTTCAAGTACTAGAGACGTGTGTATACATTTTCACCATATAATTACGCCCTGAAACTTTCATTAAGATTGTACGTATAGAAATTAAATTATTCAACAAATAAATTCTTATAATGTTACCCACACTACAACGCAGCCCAAGCGCAGTTATCAGCGCGCGTTCTAATACGTGCGTGTGTATGTATGTGTGTCGAAAAGAAGTGCAGACTGATTAGAATATCAGATTAGAGGATTCAGGTTATCTCCTAGTCAAGCAGTCTCGACTAAAGTCTTCTTACTTGTTTATACTTGTTTTTACTTGTTTTTGGTATTGGGATGTCAATTCAAGTATATATTCAAAATTTCAATTCAATAGCGCTTCATATATTGATATCCCATTCACCACGATCACTCTTTATAGAATCGTAAAGAAATCGGCGATAAAAATTTCATTCGCCCTGATCAAGATATATACAAACCAAAATGAGAATCTTATGATACGATGCTAATTAGAAATAAATAAATACTTAAAGCTTTTAAAATAAGCTTTTTAAAAATATACCTTCTGATCTGCAAATGATGAATTTCTAATACTTTCAATACAATATTGACTGTTTGAGTAAATTTTATTTGTGCTAGTTATAAGTAACGATCCTGTAGTTGAACTTATAACATGGAACTCATCCGAAAAAGACTCCGGATCCAAACGAAACTTCGGGCATTCTAGTCCAGTTAAGACTCCAAATACTGAAACAATAAATGGTGAATAAAAATTTAAAGTTACTCAGCAGGCTTATATTTATATATATTAATATTAATTCTAATAATTTATATATATTAATCTTAATAGAAATTTGTACATATTATTGAAGTAAATTAACAAGAGTGTAAGGTAGTGATTTTGCTGAGGCAGACTCAGTCTGCCCAAGGTTATTTTACAAGAAAAATTTATATCTTGCAGACACGAGGCGGGGGCATGGACGGCAGAAAGGCCCCGCTCCAGAGCCGAACAGGCCCTGTTATCACACGAAGCAGGGCCTGTGGCTGGGCTATAAAAGGCCACTGGCAGCTCCATATGGGGATTGAGAGACCGTAAACGAGATATCGGGTGAAAAGAGTGTCAAAAGTAAAAATGATAAGTGAAAGTCAACGCGAGTGGCAAATAAGTACATCGAAGAACTCCCAGGATATCGTGGGAACATCAAGGACATCCAGAGGGAATCCTTACAACGACTATCACAGGATAAGAGGCAATCAGGATCGCCAGCGGCACCAACAAGGACATTAGTGCGGACGAGGACAACCACAGCAGCTTAAGCGGGGCCTGCAGATACCGAGTGAGTAAGTTCACGTAGCCGTGCGTAAGAGAATAGTTGTGAGTGAAACGAAGCTAGCGTGTCTTAACACAACACTCTCCCAGCCGGAGTACGCTGAGCCAGCACTCGGCATTCTGTGGCAGGTGTGCCTTGCGAAAGCGAATCATCAAATAATTGTACTATAAGTGAAGTGTAAAATTTTAAACTTATTCAAGACAATATACTTTACGTTTCTGAACCATAAATCACAAGTGACTAATTATTATCGCAGGGGCTTCAACTAATAAATTTGTTGGCACGAACTCACAATCAGCTGAAACTAGCCCAGCTTAGACTCGGGATAAGCCGAACCACAACTGCGCTAATTTAAGCTGACTGCAGACAAATTTCGGATTGCTGTTGGGAGCTGTGCGCGACTGAGAAGTGAGCCGCAAAATGCCAACCGGCGTCAAAGTTCGTCACCAGTGGCAGTTGCGAACGACATCGATGTGGCCAGCTCCAAACAGCAGTCCGAAGGGGACAAAATGCGCTAAACGGACGAAATGGCAATTGCTGTGCGTACATGCGTCAATACCACCGGGGGCTGCAAAACCAACGAGTTTTGCAGCAACGCCCGGCCAGCAGGTCGAGGGTCATCAAGGAGGAGGCTGCCCGGACTGGGAAAAGAAATTCTAAAATTTATGGAAATTTTAAAATATTACAACTCCATTTACTTACCAGCAGCATACAGCATTGCCAGCAGTAAGTAAAAATGCAGCTGATGGCGTTAACAGAGAATTAACAGCAGCGATCAGCGCAAAATGGAGCACCGAGGGATGTAGCGACGCAAAACGGAGCGGCGCCACCATGAAGGCCGCCAAAATTCAAACACGATGGTCTCGTGTTTTCCCGAAGGAAGAGGGGAGTGTGAGGAGCAATATACATAGGTATGCACGTATTAATACATATGAACATACGTATTTGCTGTGCGTTCATATGCATATACGTGCATATACATGTTACTCCACACAGCGACGCGAATACTGTAGGAGCGACCCTCGCCACTGGAAAGGAGTCAAGGTCCGATTTCGCTTCTACAGATTCAGCAATGAGCTCGCGCCGCGCACACGACGATCATCGAGGACCATTAGCTGAGGTGCCGTTCGGGCCGGGTGATAGTAGTAGACGACTTCATAAGCCAAAAATAATTTTTATACTCATTCACGAAAGTGAATCAGTATATTGGTTTTGTGCAATGTCCGTCTTGCTGTCCGTCCGTCTGTCCGTCCGTCCGTCTGTCCGTATGAACGCAATCTATTTCGGCGCTATTGAGGCTAGAGACTTGAAATTTGGACAACATACTCGTGTATATCTCCGATCTATAAAGTGTTAAAATTTTCCCGATCCGCTCACTAGGGGCGTGGCAAATCGGAAAATGCATTTTCCGATATACCAGAAATCATGTTAGCTAAAGAGTTAGAAAGCTGTAATTTGGTATGTAAGTCCGCATCGAACACCTAAGATCACGAGCTATGGCGGATATATCTCCGCCCATGGGGGGCGTGGCAAATCGGATAACACTGTATCTCCTAAAGTTGTAAACCTAGAATGCTGAAATTTTGCACGTCAGCTAATGTTATGATTCTATAAAGTCTAAAGATAAAATTATAAGTCTACGCCTATTAGGGCCGTGGCAAATCAGACCTGAAGATAGTGATTTTTTATATTCTGCTATATTTTGGACACTATTTATGCCAGAGACCTCAAATTTTGTATATATACTCGGGCTGATCAGCCAAGACCAAAAAGATTTGTCGGTTATATGTCCGCCCACAGAGGGCGTGGCAAACCGCAAAAGTTTATATCTCCTAAAGTATAACAGCTAGAAGCTTTAAATTTGAATAGTTGATTTACTGGTAGCCTCCTCTATCGATTCCCCAAAAATAATTTTTACGCCTTTTTAGGGGCGTGGCATATCGAAAAATACCCTGTAATTTTCACTTTTTCTGAGGGTAAGCATTCAAACTTTGCAGTTAGGGTACCGTTATCTCGTTCTAAAAACTGATCAAAAATGAGGTGTCTACACCCAGTTGGGGCGTGGCAAATCGATAAAACCTGTATATTCTACAGTATTAGAGCGACACTTAACTACTAAATTGTTGATGGGATGTGAATAAGTATTCCGTAGTCGGTAACGCCCGACTGCAACGTTCTTACTTGTTTTGTTTTGTTTTGAAATTTGCAACTCTATGACTTTTTTTTTTATTTCTTAAAAGAACAATTAATTTCACTGTGAACTCATTTTTGCACTATCACATTAGCACGCGCTACAAATAGCAACAAAAGAGAGACAAACAAGTAAGAAAGCTCTAGTCGAGACTTCTCGACTACGAGACCCCAAAGCCCTTCGAGCAATAGCTATTTCAATCATTTTTCGCGTCTTTCTGCTTACACAAGAAACACTCACACACAGACACACACACACGCATACACACACGCATACACACACGCATACACACACACATACACACACACATACACACACACAAGTATACACACACACATACACACAAAAGCACCCACGAATAAGTACGCATGGGCTGCAGTGTGCGCTTACTATGAGAACTTAATTGTTTTTGTGATTATAACATGGATATGCATGTATTTGCCAAAGCATACGCCTTTTATAAACATGGTGGTGAGGGGGTGGATATAGGGGTGGGGGGTAAATTTGAACAAAAACCGAAATTGTATAAAATGCATATCAATATACATTTAAAATTTGGAGACTGTAGCTAGAGACATGTGCTTTGGAATGTACATACATTTTCACCATATAATTACGCCCTGAAACTTTCATTAAGATTGTACGTATAGAAATTAAGATATTCAACAAATAAATTCTTATAATGTTACCTACACTACAGCGCTGCCCAAGCGCAGTTAGCAGAGCGCATTCTAATACGTATGTGTGTATGTATGTGTGTTGAAAAGACTGATTATAATATCAGACTAGAGGGTTCAGGGCATCTCCTAGTCGAGCAGTCTCGACTAGAGTCTTCTTACTTGTTTTATATAAGATAGATATTTTATTGGGAAGGTGCGAGCTTGAATGAATGACACTTAATGCTTTTCTTTTTCTGAATCGAATAATAAGTTTAAATATGTTTCTTCTTAAATAGCCCTCAAATACATATACACAAATACATACATATGTATATATGTATTGTAAGGTGGCCTTTTTTGCCCACCTTACATGTTTGTAGGTAATAAGTAAAGATATCGAATGAAATAGAGTTTTGTTATGGTGAATAGGATTTGAATAAGGATTTGAGGCATAGTTTGATTTTGTAGCGATTAAGGAAAATTAAATGAAATTTTGTTGTTATGGATTTTGAGTATTGAAAGCTGCGTGGAGTATTTGGTCAGTCTGGAGCTCTCGATGTGAGCAGACGCGCTCAAAAGGGAAAACAAAACTAACTAGCAGAATAAAGGTTATAAGGCGACAAGTTTAATAAAGTAAGGAAATGCACGTAGAGATGTTTGCGTATTTATTCGTAGCTAGTTTAATAATCAATTTGTTAGTTTACTAATCATAACTAACACTAACTGGTAGTTTGAACGAGGTCACGACCCGTTCGCCGGAAGGTCAAAACTCTGGCAGCAAAATCGCGTGGTCTTGAGTGAACGCCGGCGGCAACGCTGGGCGTTCCTCGATCCGCGGTCTACCGATCGTAGTGGCCCCACTAACATTCCACAACACGCTTTCGCAGCCCCGACCCCCGCAATCTGGAGTGCGCTTGATCGCGCCACTCAATTGCGGCCGCCCTCCCGCGTGCAAACGTGTGGGCGTGGGCGTGGTCGGCGAGCTCAGGCCACGTGGTCGCCTAACCTATACGACTTCCCCCCCTCTCCCATTTCTCTAACTCAATACGTCCCGTATCTACTTACAAATTTCTTGTGAGTTATGGCCCTGGGCAGACTGAGACTCTGACCCCGGCAGGAAAATAATGTAACCTTACAAGTGGCGCCCGAGCAGGGACCCGGGGCTAGAGAGAGTGTGGTATACGGGGGGCGTAAAAACCCGCCGGCATACCCAAATAGAGGTGACGGGCAATAGAGGCGATTGTGTAGTTATTTGGTGGTTAATTTGAATATAGGCAGTGTGCGTATAAAAGCAGCAAAAGAGCAAGAACATTCATGGTAAAGTGCGAAAATTAAAAAGTGAAGACACCCTACGTCGGCCGCGGGGTCGGGGGGTCAGAAATTTCGGGAAGCGTCGAGCGAAAAACGGGACTAGAAAACCGTTGCGGCGCCGAAAAGTACAGTGCGTGCGAAAATATTACGCAGAAGCGTAAAACCGAAAACGCATGTGCATAAGCATGTGCACGCGCGGGGGCAGCGTAGCGAACGTCGCCGAAATGCAGCAACGAGAAGTGGTAAGAGCAGAGTGTGTATATATGTATGCACACACCAAAAGTAAGTAAGAGGACAAAAAAAAAAAAAGAAAGTGGTCATAGTGGACGAAATTAAATGTCAACAAGATCATTGATGCCGCTGCAATTGCACCAAGGAGTATGAAAGTGGTTACAGATGAAGTAAGAGAAAAGTGAAAGCATTTAGTGCCGACGGCAAGCGAATATACCCGCCATAAGAAAGTGTAGTTGTGAAAAAAAAAAACAGTCAAGAAAACGCGCATAGTCAAGGGTGCAAGTGTGCGTATATATACATGAGTGAATGTAAGGATTAGCGGGGAGAGAACAAAAAGTGAAATAGTGAAGTGTATATATGTATGTGCGCATAGACGAGTGCGCATATGTATATATGTACATATATATGTGCATGTGAGACAATTAGTTAAGAGGGGGTGAGCGGCGGAGTGTATATATGTATGTGCGTGGGTGCATGCGTGCGTACATATGTATATACATGCGAAGCGCTCAGTTAAGAGAGAGTGAACAGCGAAGGGCGCGCATAGGCAAGGGTAAATATGTGTATATGTATGTGAGAAAACAAATTGAGAGAGAGAGCGATCGGTCAAGCGTATGTGTGTGATTATGCGCATATGACACTGGGCTATTTTTTTTGTATGCTTGCGCATGCGGGTGCGTGTATGTGTGTAATTATGCGCATGTGACACTAGGCGATTTTTCTGATGCGCATACGACACGAGGCGATTTTGATCGTGGGAGTGGACAGTAGGCCGAGACCAGTGAAAATAAAATAAAATAAAATAAAATAAAATAAAATAAAATAAAATAAAATA